CATATTGAGAAATAGCAAAATAGGCTTCCCTATCATTTTTCACCTAGCTCAGATTTGATCAGAGATATAAAATAAAGAAAGACATGAGCACACATTCTGGCTAAGTTTCCAAAATGTCGTTTGCATGATGTTTACCTCAGGAAAAACGATCCTGCCGCTATCTTTGTACTTTATCTGTGGCGCTCTGTCTCTTCGCATACTTACACTCACCATTGCAGCTTCCAAGCATTCTCCTTTAATTAATCAAAAAGTCCATCCTCTCGTTTCCTAGGTCACGAAGGAAGAACAGTAAATTAAATAAAGATATCGGCTGAGCATGGAAGCTGGATTTCTACCCAAGGAACCTAATAATAGCACCATGATGCAGGCGAAGTCAAAACTGATATCGTTTTATATACACAGAGGCAAACAGCTGAGTGTGAAGAAGGCAAACATCTGATAGCATTCAAACAGTGGTTTATCCAGCTCATTCTGTGTTTGTAAATACAGAAGTGTGTTGTGGTGGCTAAATTTATCCTAATGTAAGGAAATATGAACAAAGAGGGTGGTATTTGGTAACTTCTATAAGCAACATTAGGACATCCTGTGTGAATTATTTTGGGGCGGTTCATGATAACATGGTACAGATTAGAGTTGCCATTTCTGGAAAAATTAGGTCAGAATTATGTAGATAAGATGGAAAGAATTTCAGTAGCATTGTAGTGTTTTCCTAACTTGAAGCCTGACTCACGTGTCAAAGCTTTGTTTTATTGTATACCTTGTTTTGATATATAGTCAAAACAGCCTTTATTGAGAGAAAATAAAAATAAACCAGCTGAGCAAGAAAGAATTACACACAGCATTGAATAAAAATAAGTACAGCAAGCTTAATTTCGGAGAGAAATAGTTGTCTTTTCCTGTGAAACTTTTTGCAGTTTCAGAAATGGCCATGCTGAACCCAGGAAAAATCAGAGGAGGGAGATACAATTTTCTAACAGCTCAGGAATGGGGCCTTTCCTTGCTCTTGATTCAAGCTGGAATTTCAGCCATACGTCAGGTGTATTTTGGGACCATTAGGGTATGGCCACACTGGAAAGTGGTGGTCCTCTTCTTTATATGCTTCCCTTTGTCCTTCTCAAATTTCACCCCAGATTAGAAGAATCTCTCACTTAAAAAGGAGGAAGATCATGGCCATGAAAGGCTTACTTTTTAAGAGAAGAAGTGAGATTAGTTCTAGTTAGAAGAATGAGAGCCCTGACTCTGCAGCCTTGCCTCTGCAGTCAGCACAATGTTTCCATTGGCTTCAGGTAGAACATTTGTTTGCTCAGGTCATTTGTTACAAGTAGGAATGTACTTTTACACTGCTTAGTGTTCAGTGCCATAAATCCCAGCACATACCATGCCTCTTTTTTTTCACTGGGGGTTCTGGCCTGAGTTATTGAATCTCTTTCTGCCATGGAGCTTGCTTCGAGAAGGAGCAAACCTCTGGGGCAGACCCTGGTACTTGTATGTGAGCCAGCCTTAAGATAAAATGCTTCATGTTCCCTTTTGCTTATTCAGTGAGACTAACAGACTGTTGAATTCTGATTTTCGGTCCAGCTCATTAATGCAAACCAGGGCAAGCTGCAGTTTATGCTCCTATGCTAGAAGGTAAATAGCGTGGGGACAGGGGCACATCCCCTGCTGCCCCTGCTGTGTGTGAACAGGCCCCTGGAGCCGGCTGGGCAGCATGGAACGGCTTCGGCCACTCTTCCCAAAGCCTGTAAGCCCCTGGCATTGGGGCATCTCACCCTCCTTGTGCTCCTTGCATTGCCGCTCGAGCTCAGTGCTGTGCCAGGCTCTTACTTTACCTCTCACGGCTCTGGGGACCGTGCCTTCCCCAAAAGGCCAGTGGGTGCCCATCCCTACCCAAAGCTGCAGCATGAGTAAGCGGTGGGGTCGGTTTGGGGGGAAGGAAAGGAGAATGAAAGCCAGCTTTCGAGTCCAGGCATGAGCAGAGTAAAGCCTAGAAGGAACAGGTTTATTTTTAGGATGGTCTCTCAAGAATCTCTTAAGCAGCTGGCCAGGAATTTGGGCTACTAAAGCCCACCCACAGCACTGTTTAGCCCAGCCACCTACAAAATCCAGATAGCCAGCCTTAATATAACAGCATAGGCGCTGCTGTGGCACCCTTCTGCTCCCGGAATCACTCCTCTCCTCCTGCTCTCACCTGGGAAAGAAAACAGGAGCGACTGGGATGGGGATGCCAATGCGTGGCCCCTTCCCAGGCAGGGACACCCCACACCACCCGCTCCCCCCCCCCG